TTTTATTTTTTCAGAATTTCAAAAAATGCTTCAAATAAGAGTTCTAGATACTGCTCTTTCCTGGAAAAAAAGGTCGTATACAGTTTTTTTTATCTCGAATACTTCAAGACGAATCGATTAATTAGTGCGTTTATTGCTAATTATTTCTTAACGAGTGGAATTCGAAGGAACTTGCTTGCTAAAACATTTTTCGTATCTGAAAACTGCAGCTACATATCAATAACTAAGTTTATCAACAGAATTTAATTTAAATTGAAGAGCAAATTGTTTTCATGTTAAAAACTCATTTCACTGGTTAACGAGGGAGGTGATTTTAATATCAGAACTTGACGAGTTGGTCGATTCTGAAGGAGTGATAAACGCGTTGGTAACTTCGATTAAGTCCCGGCCAACGAAAAGACTGGACTCTCGCAACAAGTTGCAAAATTGTTTACTGAGGTGTAACCAAGATACGAAGATTAACAGAATTTACGATGGTTAAACGCGCGGTAAATCCGCATCCCGGCATCAGCCCGTGCGGAAGGGCGCGCAGCAGACTACAATATTAAGCGCACCGTGAAAACATCGAGAAACCGGATTTATTTCAATATTTACTTCAAGATGTTTACGGCGACGATTCAAATTCCTTGCGTTCGCTCAAGCGGAATGCGAAATTACGATGATAAAGTCAGTCAAAAGACATTCAGTAATCCATCGCATTACGAAATTTCATTTTAACTGAATATTCTAATTGTTTTGCGACAAGAACGTATCCCGAATGGGGAAAACGGCAGGAGAATTCAGCGCTATCATAGTGAATTGAGGGAAAAGGAGAAACAGCCACCTCGGGCAGACCAGCCGCGTTCTATACGCAATTTTCTTTCTGGGTTCTTGGCTCGGGCCACAAAATTCGAGTCTCTTCGACCGCGATAAGACGTTATCCGGTTGTTGGACGAGGCTCCATCCCATCGGTAGTTCTATTTCTTTTTTTTTCCACCCTTCTTTAGCCGACGGCGTAGCCAGGGGGCATCGTTCCTTTCTTCGAGTAGGCGCAGAAGCCCAGGGACGGTAGAAGGGGAGAGAGCGGTTTCCGGTGCCCTCGATAACGAGTCATTTCCGACCCACTGTACTCGTCTCCTTCAGAGGCGATCCTCCCATGCCGCCCCGCCGTCATTCCCCATCGGCGAAGAGCCGAGGAACCGGAATCACAGAACGCTTCGCGAATATTACCGGTTAAATGCTTTCCACCCTCCTGCCTCTCGGCCGGGGGAAAATTTCTCGTGGAGGCGTTTGCAACGGAAACCGACGATGATTCGCCTTTGTTGCGCGAGAAATATTGCTCCGGCAACCCTTCCCGATTAGATTAATCGCTGCCTCTTTTACAATTGTATCTCTCAAACGGCACGGAAAGCATTCTTCATATTCGCAATAAATTCATTACGGCATTAAAACGACCAAAGGATGCCGTGGAAGATAACTGATAAGCAAGCTTGATTACTAGAAATAAATTATCGTTATCCAGTAACAAGGGTAACGGCGTATTTCGTTGCAATGCTCCACACGTAGAATACATTTAACCCCGTGTCGTTTCGTCGTGAGATATGAAAATACATGAGAATAGAGTGGCGAAGGTAAAACGCTTCATGAGACTTACGAGTTAAATATCATTGTTTTTCCCGCGGAACTTCTGCGACTGATTGCCAAGCGTATTTTCATGACTCGACGAGACGTTCGTGATCATTCCTCGCGTTACATTATTAAAACGATACCGACTTCGTTTTATGACATGTTTTGTTACTAAACCACTGGAAATTATAGCGTCACGACTTCGTCGCGGGGACATTAATATTCAGGAGTTAGAGCACGTAATCCTACGTGTCTGGCAACTAAGGGCGGACCGTGTAACCAGCGCGAGTCAACAGGAAATAAAAGGAAACCGCGACACAGCGAGATTAAAAGTACACGTGGAATATTAAATGGATTACAGGGAATGAGCGGAAGAATTTGGCAGATATTTGAGATCGGATGAGCAAAGACAGACGTCGGTAGACATCCGTAAGAGCAGCCGGCACTAAACTCCTCGGCTGTAACGTTACTCGTGGGATCCCGTAAGTCCTGTTGGTTAAGTATTCAGGAAAAGTTTTCAGGGAACGGCTACGCAAAGTAGTTGGAGGCGGCGAGAAATGGAGGGCGATATCTCGAATCGTCGAAATGAAAAATCTACTTTTTAAGAGCGCCGGTTAGAGCCGTGGAATTTATTCGCGGAGCGTCCAGGCCCCTTTAAGAGTTGGAACGAGGACCGTGATGAAACCGGTTTCCGGGAACCGGGATTAATTGTTTCGTTTGTACATCGTCAGAAACTTATCAAATTAAAACGATGGGATCCTCCAAACTTCGGTAGAACGTCCAATGACCAAACTGGATTTTATACATTGACTTAAAAATTGAATACTGTGTGTAATATTTAAAAAAAAAAATATCAATAGCGAGTGTATATTGCAATGATGATTGAAAATCGTATTGTTGTACTGTTTACCGATAACTTGTAAATTGATTGCAGGCCACGATTATTTCTCTGTTTGTAAAGCGGAAAAATATTTACAATGGATGTTATGAAGGAAACTGATAAAGCAATTTAGTGTATTTAGTTAGCGAGTTATGAACCCCGGACCGGGCCGATGTTTAGAATCGAATCCGCGGTGAAATAATTCCATTTAAAAGCGACACCCTGACGGAAACGTTTGTTTCCATGGGATTTATTGCCGTGGAAATAGGGACGCGCGTCGATCGATTCCGAATGATTATTATCGGAAAATGAAAAATAAACTAGACAAGAGCGGGTAACAATCGATAAACGACACTCGTCGAATTAAATATGCTATGAATAGTATTAAAAGTCCATTTTCATTTAATCATCCGTACGTACACTGTCACAGGTGAATCTGAGATATTTCTGTAAAACAATATAATTATAAAGTCAAATGGGTCTTTTAAGATATCGATTGACGCTCTGAACATATAAATATTCATTCTGCAGCCGATTAATCTTACCGTTCTTTTAAAACAGTAAATTGGTAAAAAAAGTTGGTAAATTGTAGTTAGTTAAAGTAACGCTAGGTACGGCGAACAGTCACGTAGAGCAAAAGCGCACAAGCTGCTAGGAGTGTTTGTGGACAGTCAGAAAAGTTTGGAATACGTGGCACCCAGGAGAGCTTGAATCTACAAGTTAGCTCTCACATCCAGGAAGCGTGGACATTTGGAGATTAAATAGATATCCTGCTAATTGTTTCTACTTATCTTTATACCCTGGAGCACCCTACTCGAATATCACGTTCACTAATTACATAGTTTTACTGGAATGAATATTTCCTAGTATAATAATTTTCAGCAAAAATTGTTCGCCTCCCTTGGAGACATGGCTTTTCGTTTTATAGTGGGACTAGAAAAGAGCTAAAACGACCCCCGATTCTATTCCCTTAAATGCAGTTTTATTCATCGCTTTACCTCGCTTTCGAAGCAAGATCCCAAACAATTTTCCAGTTTCGAGTGACGCCCTCTCCTTTTCCAGTTTTTCAATTTCCCGTTAACGTTCCATTGGTATATATCTAGTTCTCTGTATATTATACTCTTTTTTCGAACGACCAGGAATATAAGCGGATCGGTTGTCAGACGATCGCTCGAGAATACCACGTAATGCCTTTTCGTGGCATTGGGGTTGACCTAAAAAGGGGCTTTGAGAATAAAGAAGGCAATCGGGAAGGGAAGTATGCTTGTTATCTTATTACTGCTGGAAAATCTACTCTTTCTTTATTTAGAATTTATTCTGCCGGTTCCACGGATGTGCCGACGAAAATTTTAGACCAATTTTTGTCACGTTTCACGGTTTTTGCTTTTTTGAAGCGTTCGATCATTGACATAGCGAATAATTGAACGTCGAGTCAACATTTTTTTTTCCATCAAGTTTTACAGAAAAGCCAATTTATCACGTTTCAAATCGTTTAGTTGATTGTACAATTTATTGTAGTTCGATTCTTTTTTGAAACTATTAACAAGTTCGAAATTTTAATTAACGTAGATAGAAAAATTCGACGAAATAGTTTTGCTTTCGTGTTATCTCTGAACCGTGGCTATTGTTTTTTTCTGAAGTTCATAAGCTGATTACGATTTAAGCTGATTTCAGTAATTACAAGGAATGTTGCATCGTGTTTACGAAGACGATTATGAAAGATTAATGAGATATTAATCTCTTGAGCATTACGGATATCGTTGATAACGAATCGTCTGTTTCGCATTGACCATCATTCTCTTTCGTTCATTCGCAAAATACAAAGTATTATCGTGTCCAGATAATCTTAATATCCTTCGACGAACCAGCTCGTTATCTTATCTGAGAACATATCATTCTTAGCCTGCGGATTCTATGCACTCAAATATGCACATAATATAAAGATTGTATGTAACGTGCAAGAGTGAAATCTTAATTTACATTTCACTCGTTAAATAGACATCGTAGGAGTTTCATATTGCTTAAGAACCCGCAGTCTAATTATAGCGAATAACCGATGGACTCACTTATGGCAACGCAGACTCTCCAAAGACCGCTGTAGGTAACTTTGCTGTCAGGTTCCGCGGAGCCGTTCGACGAACTTTTCGGCAGTTTCTCCTCCGTAAGCAGCCACTCCCCGGTGCTGATAGCGACAGTGACGACAACCAGCGAGAGCATCGCCGAGAGACCGGAAGCGATACCGAGACCACCACCACTATTCGCGTTGCCGCCGACGACACTGCTGGTAACAACGCCTCTAGCACCAGCGCTCGAAGAACCGGCACCGCCGAGGTTGTCGCAGCACCAACAACAACAAGACATCACCACGTGCCTCCCTTTTGTCATGGGGGCATCCCACTGCTAATTACGAGCCTCTTTACACCCTCCGTATTAATTGAACCCTCGACCCTCCTGTTTTAACTATTCCCTCAGAGTAACCACGATAAAAGCGGCGACACATTTATCTCGTAAGTGCCATAATCGCCCTCAAGAACGACTTCCTTCCTCTGATGGAATTTTTCACTTGTAGATTTTGATACAATAACTCCAGATGATATTATAGACTTTGCGAATGTTAGGCACTGTGACACATTTCATTGAACACGTTAGAGATTGCTCGAAGCTAATTCATGAACACCCTTCGAGAAAAGTTTCTTGTGATCGGTGACAATTGTTGATTTAAAGAAGTTATGAAGTAAGAGGTGTCCTGATTGGAAGACAAACAGTGGTCCCCCTTTTCTTTTACATCGTTATTTCTAAAGTTATGGCCGGGAGTTCGAGACCGATATGAAAACCCGCCGTTAACACCTCTCGTCGATAATGCGATAGAAGTAACGACAACAATTTATTTCCAGGTAACATACGAGATCTTTCCCTCGAAGCTTTTATTCGATAAGCTCGTACGAAGTTTCTACTCGTCGAGGATAGGCTTTTAGGCTTAGCCGAACCGAATTTCTCGATCAAGACCGGAAGTGAAGTGCACACACGAAGTCCTCAATAGATTTTCATCGAGCAAACATTTCCGGCGCGCAGGTAATTCATCCCAGAATAACGTACATATTCCCGGAGAATGAACGGTTCGCTAACGCGGTGAAACGTTGGCGTTGTAATTTTTCATTCGGTCCTCTCAGAGGGATAGAACTCGGCGTTGAACAGTCAGACGTTTGAATTTGAAGTATTGCATTAGACGGTCGAACATTTCTCCATTTATTACTAATGCCCAGTTGGACGTGTATTAGATGAATTCAAGGCAGCCCTGAAACCGTGGTAGCCTGCGCCCTGTTCTCTCATTCCCTTCCCGGCGAGAACTCGCGGAAGTTTACGGTGCGCGTTCGGAAGTTCGTCAAGGTGTCGCCGCGTAGATGGGCGCGCGTCCTTTTCTCCGGCTCTGCAACAGAAAGCGTCATTCGGTGGTTAAGATTTATGTGCTACGTGCGCGACTCCGTTCCGACAAGCGACACGCCTGGAATTTAAGATTTGTTACCGAAATCCATCAATTCTCCGACGTAGCCACTGTACTAACGACGAGCCCTCGGGAATTTAAATGAAATCTCGCTACCTCGATACGCTTCGTTCAGTACAACATAATGTTACCTAGCCTAGTTGCGAAAAGAATTATTCCACGTTGATCCGGCCTTTTAAATATGGAGTTTAATATTTCGTGGATCATTAAGCTTCCGGTAGTCGCTGCTGCGCGGTGAAAAAGTGACAGATGCTGCGACGCATAGTCAAGTGTCAAAGCCTCGTTGGATTATCATGCCCTCTTGAGTCAGTCGACTCGGCAGTGCTGGAGGATCCTCAACGGGGCATATTCCGGCCCTCGAGGAGGAAACTCGGGTAGGAATAAGAGCCAACCGCTACCACCCTTTACGCACGTCCCTTTTAATCCTTTAATCGTAATTGAATCGACGACGTTTCCGGTCCTGCTCCCAGCTTACGAACAGAAATTGAACTTTTAAGCCATCGCCAGCCAAGAATTCTATGCTGTTCCTATTAGCGTAATCCACGAACGTCGCCGCGGGTCGCGGCTCTTCATCAATGCCGTTCTCTTTTTAAGCCGGCTTCTTATCCCGCGAGGATTATCGGATCCTTCGATTCGAACCCGGGTTAGATCGATCGAAACAAAAGAAGAGATCGTTGATTGAAAATCTAACAGACTAGAAACCACTCTTCTAGAAGAGCAAAGAGTTCTTGATGAATGCAGTGATATGATATTAGCACGGTATAGGTATACGAGTAGACCTATCAATCAAGGTGTTCTTCTGTCTCCCGTCTTCTGGGACTCTATTACAATTTCCATGTCACCTACAACGTCAGATCATCGTTAGATCATTATTCATGAGACTGAGGATGTTCATTTTCCGCTTCAGTATGGCAAGTGAACGTCAGATACAAGAGGTCCATAAGGTAAAAGACTTACAGGTATACCTACTCTGTGATATTAAGAATAGATAACAATAGTTGAGGAATAATTTGGCCTTTCAAACTTTACACCTAGATATGCTTTCATTTACTTGTTATTTAATCACACTTGACCAAAAGGGTTTTTGCCCGAAGTAGTATTTTATATTCCGGATTAAATTTTTTCGATTATGTGACGAGATCAAAGAGAGTTACAAGGTAATTTGGAAGGACGTAGCCGCAGCTGGTTCATTTTCACATTTAATTTCTGCAATACATGGACAATGAAATTCAGCCATTTGGTCGGCGGCGCGGCGCGGTTGTAATTTCGTTTGAAAATTATTCGGTCCCGGGGAAAACTTGGTGCAGTAGGGTTCGCAGGTGCGACTGTTGCGCTGGCTGCGAATGCACGTTGCGGTTTTATCGGAATATCGCGTAGGCGAACAGTAATAGAAAGTTTCGTAGGACCGGGTTTGCGCGATGCGTCGCTCGCCTTGCAACATATGACTTCCAGTTTCTACTTTTCGAGTGGATGCTTGATAGCTGAGTGACTCTTCAGTGAACTTACGAGAGTTGTCAGTAAGTAAGAGACGGTCGCGAAACTTGATTGTGAAGTTCCCAGCAAGGAGATACCAAGAGACGTGCTCGAGAACCTACGTGAAACGTTCTTTTCGACGATTGAAATTCTTCGCACTGTGCGACCCGATTACCATAATACTAACGATACTAATTAAAGTAATTGATTTTAGCGGTTTTACTTTCTAACTAAAAAAGAATTTACAATATTATATAAAATGAATTTATAGAAATCTGAAAAAAAATTAAATTGTTACTTTGTTAACTGCTCATTTGCATCAAAATACAACTTCTGCCGGAAACATATTTCGTTTGGACGAAGAAAAAGTTTTCACAGTAAACAATTTTATTCATTAATTAATTATTGACGCTAGCGAGAAATTGTTATACAGAAAGTGTAGGCACTGGCGTTCTCTACAAGAAAGATTCTATGAATTTTTCTTCTAACCCGAAATTAAAATTTTTTTGCAGAATTTCGAAAAATGCCTCAAATAAAAGTTGTAAGTACTGCTATTTGCTGGGAAAAAAAGGTCGTATACAATTTCTTTTATCTCGAATACTTCAGGACGAATCAATTAATTCGTTCGTTCATTGCCAATTATTCCTTAACGAGTGGAGTTAGTAGGAATTTGCGTAAGAGTTCTTGTGTATCTGACAACTATAGTTACATACCAATAAGAAAACGTATTGTTACAACGTTTCCCCTCCACATTGCTACTTACTCCTACCACAACGCACTGTCTGAAGTTGAGCGTTCAGTACATTAAGACAGGGGACAGACATCAGATGCCAGCGACTAGACGCTGAGCTATTCAAGTAAGTAGATACGGAGGCTCAAGTAAATGTTAGTCAGACATCCTTTGCAGCGACGTTGCACGACGTCGATCTCGCTAATTTCCATTACCCACGTTATTTTTCTACTAACATTGTTACGCAAATGCTAATTATCTAAAACTAAACAAATATTAAAATCAGATTATATATGACTAATAGTATCTGAAAAATGTGCACATAGTACTCCTGTTATATTCTTAATCAAGCGTGTCTATCATGTCCATCTCTCATGCAGGACGACGTTGAACAAAGGAGAGAATTCGAAACAAGTTTGAAGCAAGTTTAAAATTTCACGCTTACAATATCGAAGGTTTACGAAGATGGACGTGTTTCGTGCATCACGTTGCCGCGTTTTATTTTCGCTACGTGTTTCCGCGGGGTACGTGAGTACGTGGCAGTTTTCAGCAACCGTGTAAAGGGAACGAGAGCATTGTTGTGTAAAGTCCTCCTGTTCAACAATATTGTGGTAACGGCGGTGTATTAGAAATACAGCCTGCTCGCTGCTACCGTTTATGTAAATTTATTATCAAACGATGGTTCTTTAAATTCTGAAATTTACGTCTCTCAACGAAAACGGAGCAATGACTTCGGGCTCGGTATATCCGCAGCGCGTATGAGCAGTCCTTAAAGAAGTTGTTGTCATATCTTTAGAAAAAGTTTGTTCCCCGAAACAGTGCATTCTCTGCGAGTTTGGCGCAACCCAGTTTGCGAAGAACATTTGGCCGACGTTGTACATACAGAAAGAACCACCACGTAATGCATCATGGGAATGATTCAACTTCTTAATCTCAGCCGTTTCGGATACATCTTCTTTACTCTTTTCACGTAGATCAAAGTCCAATTCTTTTTCCTCTAGATGGACAGCAGCAAAAGAATTGACAAAATAGGTTCGACCGTCCTCTTTGGACGCCTCATTCAACGCGTTTCACTCTTACCATGCAAAATACACCGCAATTTTATTCAGAAATTGTAAAGGGGACTAATATAGAAACGTGTAATTTGGTGTTATTGCTAATTCTGTTCTAAATGGTTAATCAGTGTTTAAATAGGAAAAGTCTCAGTTGGTTGATAAACGAATTCCGTTCCACGGCGCGATATTTTTATAAACCTCTGGCAACCGCGCGAATCAGCGAGGGAACGTTTCCCGCGTGGCGCCTCGATGGTCTATTTTTCCATGAAGGAACTGGCTCGAATCGATCGTTGCTGTGCTTTGCAGAAAAGCTTCGTTAAGTACGGATAATGAAGCAACGATGAGGCGGAACTGCGCCAAGAGCGCGAGACCGTGGCCCGTTCGCTCGCTCCCTTGCCTCTTCGACGAGCATGCGGCTAAAGAACAAGCGGTCGCGCGACCTAACCGCCCGGTATCATTGCGATCACGTCATTCGAGTCTAATTGCAATCGGTTCCCCTCATTACTCATTACTCGTTACTGAAATAGGGCCATTCGTCAGCCGGGAAAACGTTTTAACGGCTGAGTATTCCACCGCGAAACTCTATTTCTTTTTTCGAATTTTCTGATTTCCCGGCGTCGCAGGGTTATTAAAATTTCTTCGCGCCGGCTCGAATTTTCAGTCTTGCTACTTACACGCTCATTCATATATGAAATGTAATAAATTTTCTTAAATAGGTACAGAATTGGATTAAAAATGCAAGAGAGATTGATATAAAATGAATGGAAGTGTGGAACATCAAGCTTCGTTACGGACAGATAATAGAAAAAAATTGCGGGAATCGGTTGATCGATTTTAAAGGGAAGTCAGGGTGTATCCGTGAGCGTAGTTGGCCATGAATAATACTGACTAGCATCGTTAGCGAACCGGTAGTTATTTGTAATATAAATAACTTCCGCCGTCTTGAAACTTTTCCAACTTCGCTCTTTAAACAATACACCGATTAGTTCATGAATAAGAATGAAATTGAAAAGTTCCGATCCGCAGCTGGTACAAAGGGCGGACAGAAAAGATAATCAAAGCGAGATAAGAAGAATCGAAGATAAACTTAAACCAATGTTCGTTTCATCAAAGCGGGACAGTTTGACTTTAACGTTCGAATTAAATTTCCCCGTTGCGTCACTTTGTTCGCAGCGGAGAGTCAGGCGCGGGAGGAATTGCATTCCGTAAATTTCAGTAGAAAGAGAGCCGCGCGTCCGCTTTGGATTAAGTAACGCATGAACGAAACTAAGGGGACGAAACAATTTAGACGAAACCGGAATGTATCTTGACTTCGGCGCCGGAGTTCTTCGAGAGACACGCCGGAGCAGATACTTTGAATCAAAACTCTTAGAAAATATGTCAGCTATTTTTAAATAAGCTAACGTTTCGGTTTTCCTATTTTTCCAGACACTAATGAATTCCTTAGCCAATATTCTTCTAAAGGAGTCATGGAATATTCGATATCTTTTCTGACGTGAAGGAGAGAAGGAGAGAGAGGGGGGGAGAGAGAAGGCAGCGTGTATCGATTTCGCGTGAAATATGCGTCCACTTAAAACCCATGTAGCTAGGTACACGCAATTAAAACGCAATTTCCTATGCTATACTTTAAAACTTTACACGGCGCGAAAAAGTTCTAAAACGCCGGACGGATTTTACATCCATTAAAATAAAACCGGCACTCGGCCTCGGTGCTATTCGCTCTTTCTTTTTTTTTTTATTTCATAATATCCCGTATGATATACCGTATTTCAGGTTTTAGGTTGCTCCCCTTTTAATTAATCAGATTATAAGTAGCGTCGGCGAAAATTGATTTTTCCTAAAGGAAGCTGAGAGCTCGACCATCTTTACCACCAGGCCATTGACTGCCTTCCCTCGCCGCCCTTTTACTGTCACAGAGATTAATCCCTTACACACTCACGCTCTCTCTATTAAATAAATATTCGAACTAATTATTTTCCGATACCTCTGTATATATTTAATTGGTCTACTTTATGGTTTGAAGTTTTATAATTAAATATCGGAGTTCGAGTTGACCGTGTGGCTGAGTACTTCGGGTTTGGCTTCTTCTTCCTTTAGAGAAAAATATCTGGAGTGCGGCACGACGCCAAACTTATTTCGATCGTTCCGCTCGGTTGAGCTACAACCTGGACTCTCGAATATATTTCAAAAACGCTTTTCAATACCGTTGGACGCAATACCGCCATGATTTTCAGATCAAAGGAAGCTGTCAGAGAACGAAAGGGAGCAGATAATTTACAAACTCTTTTCCATCTCCGATCTCATAAACACAATACTCTTAAACGAAATAAGACTGGATGAGTTATCAGTTTTCGAAAAGGAGAATTGATCAGACGTATTTCATTTTATAGTCATTTATTTATCATCAATAAATCAATTGGGAGCATCACGTGGATTCATATATTCGCAATGGTTTTTATATTCAGGTGATATTTTCGGTTCGTTGAAAGATTCTGTAGGTGACAGGCGTTGAGGTCAACTCCCGAGGGTTAGCGCACCTACCATTTATAATCATGTGTGTCCCCCTTATAGGGAATTTCTGGCAGAGAGGAGAGGCTGAGAATTTATCGAGATCCCTGGAAGTCAAGCAAACTAACCGGTGAAAACTCTAGAAATTTATTTAAAAAGTTTTCCATAAAAGACAACTTCCAATTATTTCTATTAAAATTAATAACATTACATCGAATATATAAAATAATATTTTACCACAAATCCAGCATTTCTATCATAAATTCAATCTTCTCTAATAAGCCAACAGCTTGGTAGAATCTTTTGCCACGGGTTATTTATAAACGAAGGGAGAGAAGCGTGCTGGAAAAATGGCCGCGCGAAGTGGAAAATTTTAATGAAAAATCGGAACTGGGACGTTAAATCATCCGGCTGTAGCAAAATTTTCACGAATCGCTATTTCACTGTCGTAAGTACGACAGGTTTGTCGCAAGACCCGCGGAGGACGAGCGAGATAAATAGCGCGGCTTGCAACAGAAATGCAATCATCCGTCTTAGTATTTTTATCCCGTAGTTACTTCGCCTTTTTTGTCACTCTATGCACACACGTGATGGGATCAGTTGAAAGCGTAGCATTATGCAAAAAATGAGTTCGTCGTGCTCTACGTAATTCGTTAAGAAAGTTTACTCGTTCTCTTTTTTAGTTTGTATTAAAATAAACGAAGTCTAACATTGGAATAATGTTTATTCAATCTGTTTTTTTAAATTCCTTTCGCCACGTGCAATAATTTGACTGATGGGAGTTACTTTTTCCTTGTTCTCTAAATTAAAGTTGATGGATCCTTGCCACAACGGCGGGGGTGATACTCGGTACGAGAGGCTCGCGCGCTGTACAATTATCCAGACACTTTCGCAGTTTATCAGCGGGTCCCTTAAAGTAGTTTCTGCCCGATGGTTTCTCGCGTGAAACAGTGGCCGTTAGTGACAAGAGAGTTGCTGCTGCGCAGATGGCGATGTATTATGAGCGTCCCCGAGGGCCCGATACGTTTTTACCTTCCACGTATAAAAATATAAAAAGAAAGCAACGATAAAAGCGTAACAACAATTTCGATGTAAATTGCTTTGCGCGTTGCCGCAAACAATGCTTTCGGTTTGATGAAAAACGTAGTTTACGCGGATCGGGAATTGAACCTGTCGGATAAAATAATTTTAACTGGCTTAAAATAAAAAAAAATATATACTGGAAATTCACGACAGAGCGAGATAATATTTTTATAGTATAAACTGTGGTTTCCTTTCGGCACGGGGTATTTTTTAAACGACTGATCCTTCGGCAATAATTTCCTACAGGTATCGAATGGAAAGTCTAACAAGAATTATGCAGACAATTTCGAACGTCTGTTGCAGCGCGTCGGAAAAAGGTTGAGTTGTGTCCGAGTTCGTATGTATTGGATGTAGCGATGTTCAGCAAAGGTCGTCTGCATTCAAGTAGCTCGTTTGGTCGTCGAAAGCATCTCGAGTTCGAGGCCCGGTTCCTAAGGGCTACTGATAATCATGCCGCCGCACGTACAGCCCGGTTCCACGTGAATAAAGAAACGAACAACTTTTTCGAATGGTCTAGTTTCCGCAACTTTTTCCAAACAATGCACCGACAATTGAATAAAAATTAACGAGCTTCTCGAGTATACTTAGGAAATATACTAATTAGATAAGTATTGATAATTACGTTTATCGAACGTCGAGAAGTATCGATCTCAGATCTGTAATTAAATCTGATCGATTAGAAAATACTACGACGATTTAAGGAGTCCCACAGGAAAGAAGAGGCAACCTGATGTTCCATGTAAACCAAGAAATTGTTAAAAAATGAAATTGTTAATCGAGTATGTAAAAATTGCATTTATTGAATACTGATACTTATGTTAAGAATAATCAGTTAGGACACTGGAAAATACATACGATGATGTAAGGAGCCGTACGGGAAGAAGGGACGACCAAGGGTTGTTCCATACAAATCACGAAATTGTCAAAAATAATCGGAAGTATACTATTTTCTTAAGGAGCCGTGGGGTGTGTTTCACATCGGTAAGACGGAGAAACGGAGAATAAGGAGTCGTGGTTCCGTTCATGGGTCATGAATTGTAAAGCGTCGCTGTTTATATTCAGACATTCGAGCCAGGGCGCGGCGTTTCGTGCCAGCTTCCGGAAAGCGATATAAAAGAGGAAAGCGAAGCGACGACGTTAAAAAGGATCACCGAGCCTTGCTCGAGAGAGGGACCTGGCATTTTAATAAATTGAAATTCAACTGCGAACCGAAGGCGGAAAGCGTGCTGCCGTGACCCAGGAGGGACCAAAGGGATCGGCAACTGTAGGTATGTACAGAAATTCCTGAATATACTGTATATGTGTGTGTGTGTGTGTGTGTACAGAGAGAGAGAGAGAGAGAGAGAGAGAGAGAGAGAGAGAGAGAGAGAGAGAGAGAGAGAGAGATTAAAATACCTTCATTCTGCTCGATTTGGTAAGAAGCGAAACCAGGCGCAACCTTTGCAGAAGTTTCAATATTTGGAATCTAAGTTCGAAGAGAGGAAACTTCTTACTTTGTGGGTGGTACGAATAAAATAGAAATGCTTCAGCGATAAACGTCCACTTTTTCAATTCTTCTAAAAGCAGTGTGTACCAGATAAGAAATATAATGTGCAAACTGTGTCACAGCGGATGTAATATAGGTGGTACCCGGCTCTATATAGAATGATGTTCACATTAAGCATCGCAGCGTGGAAAATTATTCGCATGGAACGTTGAGGGAGAGCACGCTTCAGCATATTTTATAGTCAACATTTATCTTAGATTCTTCCCTTGCCGCGAAATTTCCAGTTCTCTTTATTGCAAAATATAGTCGATATGAGGAGGAGCATGAAAAATCTCGTTGCGGGAAGGCGGGCATCTTTCTTTTTCATCAGTACCAAATTACTACTTTTATTTCCTTTCACTTCGCTGCGACGGAGAAATTATTCCCATACATTTTCTGCGAGACACTACTGGAAATAAATGAATTTGTCTTTGCGCGCATGCGATCCTACATTAACGAGTATCGTTCCGCGAATCCAGGTAATATACGGAAGGGAAGAGTTGCGTTTCGATGTTGTAATTCAAAAGGGAAACCGGATGCAGCGGTGTTGACTACAGTTAAGAAACTACAATAAGCAATTAGAAGTGAGACATAAATCGGGAACAACTACTTGTGCGTGTATATGTGTACTATGTTTCTAGTTATGGAGCGAGCGGCGTAACACACAAGTTCACGTCTGGTGGAACTTAAATTAGTTTTGCGCGATATGGTCCTCACTTGAACCTCAGAGGTGCTGTTACAGTGACCAAGTTAACAAAAACAGAACAAAAGCTCCGTTTTCGCTTTTCTTAATTAAAACTTCTATTGTTCCGCGTTTCGTGATTTCTCGTGGATGTGTGTAGAACGCATGGCAATGAACGTGAGGGGTTCCAACGTGAGGGCCATTGTCCGAGCTATTAAATTATTCTAATAATTATCAGTTGAACCAATTCCAAGTAATATCGTCATGAATACTGACGATGCTATGCATTCGAGATTAAACAGCTTCTGGTAAACGATGGGAGCATGAAAAATAAATCTTCGCCGGCCGACTCAAATAATATTAATTTGGACTGCTCGCTTTTCCTGAAATTCAATTGTTTCGATTGGCAGAAAAAGGTAAAAAATTGTACGGTTGTAATCTTATTTTGAAAAATGAACGACTCGAGGGAACTAACACAACAGTAGATGGGAACTAGTCTTCGCCAGTTAGCTCTGAAAATGAAGTCGATTCTACGGGTGCCCTGATGAAGCTAACGATGTTAGGGAATGGTCTGTTATAAACCTACACTCAACAGAGGCATTATCTAGAGTGCAGCGTTTCTTTTTGTAATTAATAGTTAGAGAGGAAGCAGGACCTTTCCTGAGGTGAGGTAAAAACCCCTCATACGTGTCTCCCAATGTGAAAGAAATTATGAAATATTTTAAACATTATGATTATTATTTTATGATTCTGTCAATGACTATTGGATTATTGTGAATGATTCATAGAAGTAATGAAATTATTCTGAGATGTTAGATATTAAACATGCACAATAATTAACGAAGGAACTATTTGATATTTAATTACGAATCGCATTCGGTTCGTACGCTTATGTTAATATTAGAGAACTGTGAACGCTTATTTAGAGAGTCTGCTTCATCTTTCTATTTGAGAGAATCTTACAATGTTAGTGATCAACATTCTGACAGTGTGTCTCGTGTAAATTTCTCAAAGCGAGCCGTACCGCGCTGATTTCACACCGATAAATAATACTGTTGATTACACGAAAGACGGTAGACTCGGTAGTAGTAGCGAGGTGAAGTTCCATGGAGAGAATTCGATATGCACAAATCTGCCTTTGAATTCACCCGGATCCGGATAACTCTCTTTGGCCTCGGAGAGTTCTGCGTGCATTAATGGAAACGCCAAGAATTCCTACGCGAAACTCCAAGAATTCTTCCAATCTCCTCGCAGAAACACTCGTCTCTTTCTCATTCAAAGAAATTTAAAAAAGACGACTTCAAATCGCGTAGTTTCCCTTTAAGTAATTGAATGAATATCAGACACGATCGGAACGTATTATACATTTTTTCGATGACTACAGAGGAGTAACGGTCGCGCTCGATAATTAATTCCTGCAAGAATCGTATAATGTAATTGTTCTCGCTAGCATTTTTCAGTGTTCATGTTTCTTCGTCCAGATATTATTTGTTCTTGTTCGTATATCAACGTTGCGCGATTGTTATTCCTAGCGGTAATCAGTGGAGAAAAAGGGCAACGAATTTTGTAATCCGACAAGGGATTCTAATTTTGACCGTACAAATAACTTTCCGCCGGCAAATGGAATAATGAGTGCCGCGGTTTCGTACAGTAAAAGCGGGGACCGGCTACCCTGGTCGTTGTTTGCACGCGTATAGGTGTGCATGTGGACACACGTACAGGCACTCGTACAAACGCGTGTATAAGCAATTTGCCGACTCATGTAAATGTTTCAAACTGATATTACGTTAGGTCCGCAATCTGCAGATAGGGATAAATGAAGCGCCGTTGCTTTTTTTCGAGCAGAGACCGTTGCACGGATCCGCGATTGCAATAGCTTGCAACACCAAATGCGATTCATTGTTTATTTTCAATATTTTTCTACAAATCCTCGTATTTTATTTTAATTCATTAGAGAATAGACTGCATTGCATGATTTCTCGCATGAAACTGAAGATAAATAGAATGTAAAAACGTGTGTTTTTCCTGCATTTCACATAAACAAACGAAACGAAATAATTCGATACGTGTAAGTCGTAAATTGCGTCAATGCGAATCCGTCATTGTGGAAATAAACGATTTTCAAATGTTTCAACTGTAACGGATCGAAATTACGTTTTCCATCGGATCTGACTAAGCAAACACCGCGTTCACGTCGGATACATTTTAAATCGCTTGTTAAATTATTGTAAAATATCCAGGCACGTATTTTGTCAATATTTGAAAGGCAGGAGGGAGTATCGAGTGGGCAGGGAACGTGTGCTAATTATTAACACGGCCCTAATTTTTTAATTGGAACCTTGCAAATGAACTCTGGTATCGGACATTATTGTTTAACCATTTTAACGGTTTAAATCTTTGACGATAGTTCACAACGGACGGTCGATATTTGCGCACTCGCGGCGGATTAAACGTATCCGCGTTCACGGTAGCTTGGCCCGAATTGATTTGATCGAAAGTATATTACAAACCGATTGTTCGATGAACAGTCGCCCCGTTACCCGCGTTAATAAAATTCTTACGCTGAGTTTAATTTTTAAATCAATTACCCGCCACTTTTCGACCGCGATTGTTGCAGCCACAATTGCCATTAATTTTCGCGCCGAGAATTTTAATTTCAGTTGTACCCGCCGATATTGAACTATTCTTCTTTTTTTTGTTCCCTAGTACCGGATTCATTTCGGTCCGCCGATCGATCCATTCAAACTCGATTCGGTGGGCCACCGTTTCTATCTCGATTTCGACGATCAATCGTTCGCCGAACAACGGACAATAGCTCACGTTTGTGCAAACTTACGAATCCGCTTAAAAGGTAAACTTGCCGATTTCTACGCTAGGTATATGCGTTTGAATCGTGGAATAAAAGGGTTTTATGGAGTCATTTCCGACAGTCGTTACATTGTTTGAGAAGCATCAACTTCGGATATCGTGCCGTCGCTCGAGTGCGAGAAGAAGAGAGCTGAATACGTAAAGAGTTTGCCAAAAACTCGTCGCGAGATGTATGATCCTGTCAGGAATTTTACATTCCCTGTTCAATCTTATGAAATACCGTCGGGGGAAACAAGAAATCGATTCGGCAAAAGGGAAACGGCGGAGGGGTCTGATCAAATAAACAATCAGTTACCTATTCCTTTTGCAACATTTTCAATTTAGCATTGACTCGTTTACCGCGTCGATTCCTTTATTTCGGAACTGGGAACGCAACGCGACGAGCAATTGTTTATTGCCAGACCGATCGATTCACTGTTTATTTACTCAGCCCGTTTATTTTTTACGGATTTCCAACGAACAACAACGACTCACGTACGGGATAAGTGATAACGCGCGACGTTTTTTAATCAAATACGATTGTCCGTTCCATCATGTTTTCGTGACGAAAATACGATTTCGATGTTCGCAACGGGGAGGCAGGGGAGCACTGTCTATGTAAACGGGAGAATCAAAAAAGTTTCTTCCTTCTTCGACGATGCATAAAAGGAAACCACCTGCGAGCGGAAATCAAAGTTAGACAATCGGCAAGTTTTAAAAGTCCTCCGCGTTCTAGTAATACCAATTGAAATACCTCGACGAAAATCCATTTGCAGTATATCATAGAGCTCACATATCACGTTAAAATTATCGATATCTCTGACTTGATTTACTGCCGGTGGCTTAACGGTAGCTGGCACACAAGGATTTCAAGAAAATGTTTCCGCGTTGAAAAAAAAAAAACGGGGATTGATTGAAAACAAATTGCAGTGATAATGTATTTTATTTAAACAATCTGCAGGTGCATCGAAAGAAAAATAAAAAAACTCGATAGAAATGATCCGTTAAGAGGTTCGACGAGGAGGATTAAACGAGAGGTAGAAAAGGGAAAGAGCCGGAAAACACTCACTTAAATACCGTTCGTACAGCGCTGAACCTTCCTTGAAACGTTTGCACGAGAAGCTGTATTTACTCGGTCGACGTTGACCGAAGCGGGTTCGCGATTGGAACTAAAAACTCTGCGAGAAAATAAAAAGAAAAAGGAAAAGAATAAGAAGAAACAGAAGTAACGAGTACTGGAGCACGCGCCGGTGTGTTTAATTATAACCTTCGCGTCAGCAGTGGAACATGCGTTTTCCTGGAGTTTAAATAAGTAGGCACGCGACGAAGAATCCCGAGGAAGGATCGAGGCCTACACGATTTTGGTACTTCTTCGAGCATACCTGAAGTTCCTCGACGGTGGCTCGATTTCTTCCCCAGGAATCAAGTATCTCGTACGCACACCTACGATATCATCCCTGTGCTCTCACCCCCTTCGCTCTCGGCTACCCTCCACGATCACTGACTGCAGCAGAGTCCACACGGGCGCTGCGACACTCGTACCAGCACGGTAGATACTCTCGCGCTTCCCTCGATCGTTAACGAGAGAACTCGCGGACGCGACAAACGAGACTCGCGGAAGACGCGGGTTAAACGCCCCCACCGGTCGACCGCCGGGGGGTAACTTTTAAATATATATATATATGTCTACGCGTATATAGAAAAGAGCGTCGAGCTCTGGAGTTCCGTGCACCGGTGCGATAGACGAGCGCACACCTGCCCGTAGGAAGCGCCGAATTCGACTACTCTACTGCCGGACGACGCCCGTCGTCCGCGCAGGCCACCCTCTCGAAAGCGCGGCGAGACGCGCGCATACGCGCGGGAGAAACGCTCGCCGATCAGATCCTGGAGGAACAACGTAGAGAAACTATCGGACTCCTGTGGCACACGTATAGACACTTCGGCAACTTGTTCCGCTCGAAACCGCTCCCAAACTTTAACTTTCTCTTCGTTTCATCCGCATTCATACTTGACGTTGACGACAAAAATGAATAACGATTAAATCAACTCGTATCGAACGTAATCATTCGACTATCGAAGTACTAAATAGTGTGTATGTTAAAAAATAGAACGCGTAAAGAAGAAAATAGGACGGGATCGGAAAGCAGATACGGTCTCTCGTATGGAAAATAAGATGCGAAACACACGGCGCGGTGTACGGAAGCAAAGGAGAAAGTATTGAGGATTTATCCGGCTACGGGGAAGAAAGAGGAGCCGGAGCTTCGAGCGTAGGGTGGATGGGACAAAGGGATCGCGGGACAGTACGTATGTATGTACCGAACGGTACTGGTAATTTCTTAGAGAGGATTGACGGGTTGTAAAAGGGGGTGAGACGTCATAGTTGTTATGCACTCGCGCGAATGAGTGGGGGATGATACGCAGCGAGCTGGGGCACGGGAGATATGAAATCTATTGGACGGAAAAATAGAAAGGGAGAGCATGAAACGTGGAACTGAAAAGGAAACAACGAGGGAAAAAGACTAAAAGGTGAAGGTGTGTTTCAGCGGCATGCGTGAGGCTGTGCATGGGTACGCGTGGTGTAAAGGGGAAAGGGGAACGACCTCGGCGCGGCTCGTCGCGAGCACAGAAACCCACCACCGCACCGGTGCGTTCATCCAGCAAAAGCGTTTCTACGAAAGTTACCCCCCGCACGCTGTATTGCCACCAGTCCAAGGTTCCTCTGTGGCATATCCCGGTGTCGAAACCCGGCAGGACCTTTGCGCAGTCTCCGGCATCGAACATCCTGCCACCGAGGGACGGAGAGAGCAAAACTGAACCTCGACCAGGGTGGTTGCTCCTCTGTTCGCTGGGACGAAACGTTCCGACACGTGAGGGTTTGTGACGAGAACTCCTTGTCGATGAGATTTCTAGGTAGACGTGACTGCGGCAAAACCGCCGTCGACGTCGGGCGGTCGACTTTGGAAACGTAGCGGACAGTAGGATGAAAGAGACCTCGAGGTTAAGCCGTTTTTCAAGGGGGATCATTGGCTGGAAAATCGTATGATCTTCGGGTCACAAAGAAACGAACGTTTTCACTGGAAACATTTTTCTTGGCTCATTATGTACGTTATTCGGTTAATGATCGTGACCACCACACGTACATTCCTCTCTTTAAAATACTAAGAATTTCGATTCTTTTCAATTAGTTTTATGTATAAAATTCTTCTTTTTAACTTGTTTGCTCGTCGTTCACTTAACGTCTCTTAATTACGCTTTTCAATTTCGCTCCGCAGATTAATTCCACACGTCACTGCAATCGAAATATTAAATGCGTTAAACGAATTTGATGAAAAATCGTTGAAAGGATGTTCAATTTCGGTATTTTCATTTGTTATATGGTACGATGTATAAACGTGAAAAATAAGAGTGCTCAAGGATTATCCCTTGAGACAAACACGTCCCGACGCGTGAGCTGTTTGCGAATATTCGCCCGCGAGGCTTCCCTTTGTAGACACGTACGTAAAATCATGAAGGCGAGATGATAGATCAACCGTCCAATTTCATACGCCCAACAAATAAGTTTAAAACTGAAGGTAAATTTATGTAAATTTCAGTGAGCAAAGGTTCCACTATTTTCTTCAATATAATAGAAGAACATTTTACGAGCTTAGCGGACTTTGATTCGGCCTTATCTGATTTTTAAAACCGGCTAAGATAAATCATTTTTTCCGTTTAATATCTGTATTACTGCATTCGTGCATTGCGTATTACGCAACGAAAACATGAAAGACGAGCTGCGATACGTAATAAAGTGATATTAAATCTTGATGCGCGTAGGTCTGACTTCTCTATAAAGTTCCACTAAAGGTAGAGCAATACGCGAAAACTTTACGTGTAATAAATTGCACAACGACTTTGATCTTACTATTCCTCGAAACTAATATATATATAACATTTCTTGTGAGACAATGAAACAGAAGTATTTTCTTTATTCCAAACGTCATAACAAGTTAATGACATCATAGAACAGCGATGCGATTACCCATGATTCAACGTTTAACACGAACTTCTTAGATGTTTTTCTCTATAGTTATAGAATCTTTTTCCATCGCTGAACGAAGTTTGTTCTCGATATCTGCTAGAAAATTTTTTATAAAACTGTTGGAAGTTTCTTCTTCCTTCGAGAAGTAGACTTTCCTGTTTTGTGGTGATTAAAGCGATAATTTACGGTCAACATAGCATTCTATTTCCTTTTACGTCATATTCTTCGCGCCGTATCTGTTCTCGATTTTGGCCTCACATCGGACCTTGTCTATCTATGTTTAATTCTTCGTCTGTCCTGGTCCGACTCACGCGACTGGGTCAGTAACGATGCTATACTATTGCATTTCATCGAATGTGTTCAGTGTTGTTCCGACTGCGAGTGGGAGTGGACGTTTGCCGTCTGTGAAACCAAGTTTTCTCGGTAAGTTCACGTCACTATCATCGACTATCATCGATGCGATGTCAAATCGCGATTCTTCAAAAGTTCGTACTCTAATTTATTGATACGGAGTGTAAAACACGATAGTAAAACGGTGCAACGTATAGAAACGTGCGACGCAATTCGCGATTGCTCGCGACATTCCAAGGTCGTCGACGAATTTAATGCCAAAACGACGAATTTATAGGTTAGTTATTGATGTAAGTTTAGAAGAGTTTAATAAAATTGTTCTGTGTAATCGAAAACGTAAACGTTCTTCGACGATTTCGAAGTTGCGTTCGAGGTTAGGAAGTAAGGTTAGAATGTCTGAGAATAGAAAAGGAAGGAGTGTGCCGTTACTGCGAAACTGGTTGTTTACTTAGCATAATTAGTGCTGGAATTTTAATAGTTATTTTTTACAATCGTTTCGTTTGCATATCTGTTTATAAACTGATTTTCCGTGTGGAATTAATTTTTGTGAAACATTGATAAGGAATATCTCTGTTACAGAAAATGCTGTCCAGTTCTACACTGGGTGTCCTACTTGGGACGATCTTGGTCATCTCCTCAATTCCCGATGCTGCTTCCTATAACAGTAAGTAGATTTTAAAACGAATCATTTATTTTCCAAATTTCTTTCTGACTTTTACATCGACCTCGTTAACAAACCGATAACGAGGATGTTTGAAACGTTAATAATGAAATTTTGGCGCACAAAGCTTTTTCGTATACAGAGAATAGTATTTTATCGAATACGCACCATTTATCTCTGCGAACCTTTGTAGATTTAGAATCTTTTGTTTTAAATTCACGGTGGTTCATACGCGTTATGAATGAGCACGTTTCTGTAGTAATGCAAAACTAGTTTTTACAGCAGTTGATTACAAATTATCGTTGCCGAGGGAAATCGACGGGGCTTATAGTTATTCCCAATACTAATTACAAATTGCGGTGTTATAATCCAGTTTAAATCGCGGCGTGGCAATTCAATTGCTATGAGCCAATCGTTTCGTTTGATCTGGATTAAGTGGACTTAATGGAAACAAATGATCGTTTTTAATCTCTAACTCGACCGAATGTAATTACATCGACCTTCGTCGTGGTCGTCGTTTTCCTCCTCCTTCCTCTTCCTAATCTGGTTAAATACGGAAAAAGGAAACCGCCATAGGAACCGTAGATGATTAAAAAGGCAGTAGCTACGTTCGATCTTCGATTCTAATGTTCGAAGTTCGTTCATTCTAAAACTCGTTTATTCACATCGTTTGGCTTTGTCGATTTATCACCGAGCTTGATCATACCGGTGGATCTATTATCACGCAGTTACGATTCAAGAAAACACGTACTGATTCATGGTAATTAGAGTTGCGTAACAGGTGTACAGTTTTCAGTACCAGCGATGTACATTATAACGTTATTAAAACACTTTTACATGTACATTTCTGTTTTTCGCTTGAAGAAGAACTCGTTATCGCCGACGTGAAATTATTTGTTCAGGACCGCGATGAATTTAATTAAACGCACGTAATTAATTACCCGGCCTTAATTGCGACCGTTGAAACCGATGACCATACGAAACGACACTATCGTGACCGCGTACGCACGTTTTGAAGCGTACAGAATTTAATACAGCCACGTTACTCGCAGCCTCCATTCATTTTTTCTAATTAGAAAATCGTTTACGTTATCAGCGGTGGCAGCACGCACCGCGGGGAGTTTATAATAACTCTCATTGTTCTCGTTTCTCCCGTGTTCCTGAATATGACGAACGTTTAACGACGATTAGAGGGATCATTAGCCCATTTTTAATGCCACCTTCATTCCCGCGTACCGTTTCGTCCCGTCCCTTTCCCTGACACGTAGGCAAAAGCGGATGACACGGTGCTGGGCGTTAACTCCGGGTCGCCCTCTTCCCCTTTCGCCTCTTCTTTCCTCCGTGCTCATCGCCGGCCGGATAATTGAGAATCGATGGAGTTATACGGGGATGACGCTGTGGTACTTGAATAGAATTACGATTAGCAGCCGATGCGAAGCGGCCCGGATAACGTCGGGTAACTGCGTAATGTGGAAATTGTATCTCGGGGGCAAGAAACTTTCCAGCTGCTATTTACTAAGCACGCGAATTTTTTGCCGCGATCGTTAATACCAAAAACGGTGGGGAATCGTTCTGCTCTTCACGCTCGAGCAAAAACCGCGTTAATCACCGGATTGCGTCCACGTTTCTGTTGTTCCTATGCAAGTTATTGTAAATAATCGCGGTCAAGGATGGCCGTAGAAAAAGAATAACAGGATCCGTCCTTCGGTTACGGGGCCGATCCGGTTGTTTGTCTCAGCGGCTGCACGTGAATTTAATCACCCTCTTGGTTACGCAGTTTCTGCTGCTGAAAGTTCTCGAGCGAAACTTGGCACGGGGTAGGAGAATATTGAGTTAAAGTCACCCGAATGTAAATATGCTTACTCTCCGTTTGGTAGTTTCGCGTTACATGGCTGGCCGTGTTCTCAAAACAGGACTTAATAGTTATAGGAACTTGGAATAAGCATACAAGTGAATAAGCTGGATAATGTTATCAATTCGTATATTAAATGATAGATGATAAGTTTCTGTACGAGGTAATAGCACATGTTTTATTGGGAGACCTGAATAAGGTCCAACCGTGCTTTCTGCTGCTTCGATATTTCATTATAATGGCACGATAATGTTAATAGTTCTCGTTTACTTGGTGAAACGAAAGCTTTCCGATGTGAGCCATCTGAGCTCTGGTATAAATTCCACTTATGACACGTCGCGTCGGCTTTCACCAAGCGAACTTCTAATGAACCGTGTCCGATCGCTTATTACTCGGAACTTCGGCCACTAAGCGAAAAGCTCAACGGTAAGGGGTTGTTACTCTTTGCCCGCAGAGTATGGGAGGACGTGCAAGGACATCGGTTGCAGGAGAGACGAGGTCTGCGTGATAGCCGAGGATCCCTGTTCAATCTACCAGCGAGATAACTGTGGCCGTTATCCGACTTGCACGAAAGCTCATCCAGGGGGTAAGAACATTGTTGACCTTTTCATAAATTTATTTCTTTATCGGCCCCATCTCGGTAAATAACGAATGAAGAGGCAGGGAATGAAAAGAAATGAATTTCGTGGCTCGCATCGTTGCGTTGCGTTGCGTTGCGTTGCGTTGCGGTGCGCTGGTGGCACGAACGTTTTTCAGCGATTCGGTGATTTTATTTCGATCACGTTTCATCGGATGAATTTCATTTGCTTGATGATTCCCGTTTTTTGTATTTGCAAACATCGATCCGTCATTTTATTTTCCTCTTGCTGCTAATTAATGGAATCAGATAATAATAATAATAACGTACTATTATATGTTGTTTTTACAAATTTTTATTAATCGTAATAATAATTTTACTCGAATGTTAAGTGTCAAGTTTCCTATCAATATCGACTTTATTAGCTACCCAAGAATATGTTGCAAATCGTTAGAACGTTGCGTAATTCCTATAATGCTTGACTCATCCATGGGATAAATTATTGTTTACTTCATGACCCTTCAGTCAATTAGAGATTTATTAAATTTTAATCTATCGTCTATACGACTTATGGTCTAGCTACACTGACGACACGACAACGACAGCCTGGGTTTTTTGAGCAGGTGGGGTGGCCGAGCCGGTACCGTAGCCTTTACAACTGCTTTTACATGCTTTTCCTTATACTCTCAGTTGTAAAGGCTACGGTACTGGCTCGGCTGCCCCATCACCTCAACAAACTCAGTGTGTCGTTGTCGTGTCATCAGTGTAGCTAGAACTTTAATAACTAATTACATATGAAATTCGTTATCCCATGATCAATACCAACGAATATTGCTACTGTGTTTCAATAAATTCCAAACGGTTAAGCGATAATCAAGTATCTAACTTTTGGTGTAATTATGACAAAGTAATATCAAGCATCCGTGTTTTAGAATTCATATTTTTCTCGATAGACGAATATTAATTCATTTTCGAATTGTATTAATTTTTGTTGCACGTTTCGTGGTTCTTGTTTTAAGCTATCAAAAGTTTCAACGTTCATTTATTCCGGTGAACGGTTTTAATTGTTTGCAACGCGTGGTATTTTATATATAAATACGCGGTTCAACGTGAATTAAAAGTATGAATAATTGAACGAACGTTCGACATGATTTATAGGAGCTAACTGTGTCAGCATGGTCTGCGGTGAGAACGAATACTGCAAAACAGAGAACGACATGCCGACGTGTGTAAAGAAGTCGACCGCGATCGGTGAGTGTTTATTTTCTTTTAATTTTTCCACTTTTTAATATCGCGACATGCACCAGCGTGATCGATTATGCGTGCGTGCTCGACGCGGCATGAAATTTCGAGTGCATGGCGAAATGCATGAGGCAGGAATACAATAGCGACGGGAATGTTTCAAAATGAAAATGTCATGGTGTTTTATTTGGAAATTCTATCAACAGATTCATTGATCAATCAAATGTAATTTCTATTTCGACGAAATGTTCGAATTAACACTGTACTCGAATTTTTCGATTGAAAAATAGATCACTTTGATATCTGGCTAATGGAAATTTAAGCTGTTGTAATCCGCCTTTCAATGGATTGAAAATACCGCTTTATTCCAGACTTTTCATTTACATACCCTGCCTGTGTAATCACCTTTTCAATATGAATCGCGCATTTATTCAAATAATTTTTACTTTAATCTGCGTTCGTGATGAACATTGATTTAAATCGTGATAACACGTTTTTGATTAATGTATGACCCTGCGAATCATTGCCAGTGCAAATTTCACTAACGCGTGATCACTTTAATACTATTTCCGGTGCACTTGATCTTGAACACTATTCACGGTGTCGTGATTCGTCTTTCTTTGAACCGCATAACTATACTAAGCATAACCGAGCAACAGTATTTTTTACCCTTTAACGTAACAGGCGAGGAGTGAATTTTAATTCTTACTTCTTCTAACACGGTGAGTGGTAAATCCGTTGAAACTGAGTGAAAATTTTCGTAGTGAAAGCACCGGGTAATTCGGGTTCGTAATTTTGAGGCGTATCGCGTTAAGGTGTAAAGCGGGATGTAACGCGAGATCGCGAACCCTCAGGAACCTGTACAGTAGATCTTTTTTTTTTCGCCTCAACTTTTGCGAACACGACCTTTCCATTATCGACACCCTCCGCACGCAAACGTGTAGACGCGCGTACACGGCATCCGCCCACCTACTCGGGTTATAGGATTTTGGAGAAATTGCTCTCGAACGTATAAACTTTTAACATCCTGTCGATATACGGAAGAAGGAAAAAGGATATCGACTTCGAACGTGTGTACTCCATGCAAATTTCCTCCTGCGCTCATAAAAGCGAACAGCTCCGCAATTATTCATTTCAGAACCCTCGGTGATTTAATTCGTCTTTTATTTTTCTGAAAACGAAATACGCGGTGGACGGTGAATCGAAATGTTCTTTCCTATCATCGACATGCTCACGGCTGGATAGCTACTGCATGCTGGTCTACGCTTCCCATTTACGTGTCTAACGCTTTTCGATTACTTTGGGAAAATAACAGCACGGTTTTCCGAACTGCTGCACTTGACTAACTTTACTAAAAAAAGAGGAAACCCGCAATTTCCCAGTGAAAGGTTTCCACAAATGGAATGTGTGTTCATAGTTAGTCATAGCTAGAGTTGTTCCGTTGTGTTTTTCGTTGACGATTTTCGCTTGACCTTTTCCGTCTGAGTCGAGAATCCCTCGAGGGAAAAACGAACGACAAACGTAGACGAGGGATCTTTCCAGGATACGATTCGGCCGGCATTTCTTACGTGAACGGGCAGCGAACCAACGACGGTGAGAATCGCGATAAGCCCACGAACAGCAACACTGCCAGTAATTCGAACCCCTACGCGAATGCTAATGCGCCCCCGGTCCCGCCTGCTGATCCAGCGGGCGGTTATCATCAAGTGAATTCCGGCAACAATTTGGGTTATCCACCGTATCCTAGTAACAGCGGGTCCAACAGCGGATATCCACCATATCCTAGCAACAGCGCGACCGGTTCGAACAACGGTTATCCACCTTACCCGTCGACGAACCAAGGAAATCGGCAACAGGACTTGGGATATCCGCCTTACCCGACTAACAACAGGATGCCGGTGCCCGGTCAGCCTGGCCAGGGCAACTATCCCAGTTATCCCGGACAACCGGCTTATCCAGCGCCGCCGGGATATCCACAACAGTATCCTGGATACCAGAATTATCCTAATCAGAATCGGCAACACAATAACCTCTACACTGGTTATCGCAAGAACGCAGCTATCGTTCAGTCTCCGTCTCTGATGATCGTTTATTTGGCGAGTGTCCTCGCATTTTTCTTGAACAGGTCATGAGACGGAGAATTTCTAGTTGATAGCGTCTTATTCGGTATGGCGAGATAATAGGAGGCAGACTTTACGTTTGTCTGACGGATTTTATTAAAAACAGATAGGTGCTAAATAAGTTTCTATACGTAAATGGAGATTATCAATTATGATTATTAAACGAAGGCAGCACACAATTTTTAGCAAAAATCTAGTGCTAAGTGATTTGATTTTTAATTTTTACTTTTTTTACACGCTCAATGTATTTTATGCGAAAATTCTGATAAGCACGTCATGATTTGTATATAACGTATTACGTGCCTTTTAACGTGTCTTTCAACACAATCATTTTCTGGTGACGCATTTATAATTAATGGAGATTCGATATAATGACAATTACAGTTATTCCGTCGCATAGAGGATAAGATTTTTCTAACAAATGTTGGTTGCCGAATCTGGATTCGGTCTGCTTGAAGGTAGAAAGTTCTTCCATCCGATATACCCACGAATCGCTTGGATATTCGATAGTGCGCACAGTTTTAAAATAAAATCTTCCAATTTGTAAATATACAATCAGTTATCGAATATCTAAGTCGATGCCTTGAGCAGAGCTAATCAACATGGTACCTGATATCGCGAGTTTTATTGAAGATGATTTTTTTTTTATTAATATAAAAATAAAATTTTAGTCTCTCTATTTACTAAGGTACCGTGATATACTATTTTGCCGTCCGAAAATTAATTTAACTTGGCGTTAATAAATAAAATATGCCTGCATAGATGATCCGTCTATATTTATAATATGAAATTGTTGCTACAGAATTCGCATGTCTGCGGACTGTTTACTTGAAATAAAATGTAGAATATATATCGTTTCTACCTGAATTTCGAGATGTTCTAATAAACCACCTGTCACCCGTTCTTTACCCGAGTTTGGAAGCTGTTGCTTCGAAACGCGCTTTGGAATTAATTTCTTGGAAGAGACGTAGCAAACACCGACTGATCTCGTTATCGTGTCGAACCCTGACACCTCTTATCTACTTCACCGAGTGACGTAGCACTTACTTTATTGGGTCATAGTTCTTAACTGGCTGACAGTCATTTTCTGTCTATCAGTTTCAATATCTTTTACATCACTTAACATTTGCT